CACCCACCATGGCACAGCTGTTGCTCTCACACACACATACCATGAACATCCACTAACAAAAAATAGCAAAGTTTAGGGTTTTTAATTTATTTATTTATTTTTGTTTGTTTTTCAAGACAAGGTTTCTCTGTGTAGCCTTAGCTGTTCTGGAACTCACTCTGCAGACCAATCTGGCCTTGAACTCTGAGACCTGCCTGCTTCTTCTTCCCACTGGGATTAAAGGCGCCTGCTACCAAGGCCCAGCTCAATATGCAAATTTTTAAGTAGAAAAGTTACTCATTATTTTCTCTTCCGTTCAACTAATTTCTGTTGGATTTTCTTTTAAAATGAAGTACACGTACATAGGACAACTCAAGTATCTGAAAAGAAGACCCCAAAATTTGCCAAATGTGGCCATACATGCCTGTAATCTTACTTATCACTGGGGAGTTGGAGACAGGAGGATCAGAAGTTCAAGGCAGTCTCAGTTACTATCTAGTGAGCTTGATGCCAGACCGGGCTATGTGAAACTCTACCCAACTCAAAATAAATAAAACTCACAATGATTTATTGATACTGTATGTGTTTAGTGCAGATGAGGAAACACGATGTTTCCTATGTACATGTATTTTGGAGTCTTCTTTTCAGAAAAAAAAAAAAGTATACAGTAGGCTCTCCTGCTTCCTTCTCTCTTTGTTTCCAGACAGGGTCTTCCTTTGTTGTCCAAGCTGCAATCTGTAATGCAATCTGCTTGTGTAGCCCAGGCTTGCCTTGAATTTTTGATTCTCTCATCTTATTCTCTATAACTCTGGGATTACCTTACCCCCCTGCAGCTCACACGTGGCCCGTGTCACCTCATCCTCTTCCTTAAACGTGAATTAGCAGCTAAGGCCCGATGGGACATACCAGTGACCTCAGCTACTTCTATACGAAGGCAGGAAGGCCAGAGGTATTTTGTTTTTGTTTTTGTTTGTTTTTTTTTCAAGGCAGAGTTTCTCTATGTGGCCCTGGCGGGCCTGGAACTCCCTCTGTAGACCAAGATGGCCTCGAAGATGCGTGTCATCATAATTTCACTTGAATTATACCATGTTTAAAATTAAAACAATACCAGATCATTCATTTTAATGTGTGTTAAATGCCACTTTCCACCCCTACACCGCAGTAAGAATGAGATCTCAATATCTTAGCTTATTTAGATCCCAAGTGGGGCCTCTTCAATGCTCTGGTCGTATTTTCTATACTAAAGTCCTTGTTGACAGCCTAAGATTTTGATATTCTCTCATCTTCAATCCCACAAAATTTTTAGGTCCTCTTTCCTTTTATTTTTTATCTTTTTTTCTTTCTTTTTTTTTTTTTTGAGACAGGGTTTCTCCTGGAACTAGCTCTTTTTTTAAAAAATCTATTTATTTATTATGTATACAGTATTCTTGGTATTCTGCCTGCATGCATCCCTGCAGGCCAGAAGAGGGCACCAAATCTCATTACAGATGGTTGTGAGCCACCACATGGTTGCTGGGAACGGAACTCAGGACCTTCAGAAGAGCAGGCAGTGCTCTTAACCACTGAGCGTCTCTCCAGCCCGGAACTACCTCTCGTGGACCAGACTGGCCTTGAACTCACAGAGCTCCGCACTCTGCCTCTCGAGTGCTGGGATTAAAAATGTGCGCCACCACCGCACAGCCCCCCTTGTTTTTCACACTGACTAGAAATTGCTGTGTGCGGACTCTACTTCAGGGCGTTTGGACTGGATATTTGAGAGACTGTAACAAGCGGGCGGCTCTATGTTAGTGAAGTCTCAACTCCAAGTTCTTTCCTCAGCCAGGCCTTCTGGGTTGATGCGGGCACTCCTGGTTCTGTACAGTAGGCTAATTTTAATCTTTGTATTTCGCTCGAGAAAATCGAAATGGCAGCAGGCAGCCGCTGGAAGCAGAGAGCTCAAGCCCAAAGTAAAGCAAATTCACGAATGGCCCAGAATCTTTAAACTCTCAGAGCAGGCCTCCAGAGACACATATCCCCAACAAAGCCACACCTCCTAAAGTCCTCCAAACAGCATCACCAACTGAGGGCCATGCGAAGATTCAAATGGCGGAACCTATGAGGACATGCTTATTTAAACCACTATATTATGCAAGCCTGGCTGGTTTGACAGTACTCCGTATGGACCAAGCTGGCCTCCAACTAGCAGTGATCTTCTTGCCTGATTATAGGTAGGTGAGCATTGCCAAATTTGGCTATCATCACTTTTTCTGCTCTTCTGGTCTTATCACTTAATAAATCATCCCTCCACTTCACTAGCTTGCCTGATGGCACACAGATCCAGGCATTATGCTAAAGTTTTTGTTTCATCAGCCACACACCCACCTGTAAGCCTAATGTTGCCAAGTGTTTTGGCTTGGGCCTTACCTTCAGTGTCACTTGAACTGACCTGGCACATCACCCTGGAAGGACAATCCCTACCCAAAGGGATATGCAAAATCTTTACACGGAATCTTGGAATCTTTCTATGTCGCCATATATATTATTGCTAATCACCAACTAATCTAGCCCTGTGATTGATGTAATTAATACCCTTACTGGATTTCAACTCTTATTTATTTAGTGCTCTGTGTGTGTGTGTGTGTGTGTGTGTGTGAGAGAGAGAGAGAGAGAGAGAGAGAGAGAGAGAGAGAGAGAGAGAGAGAAGGGTTAATGTGGCCCCAAACAGCCTGGAGTTTGCTTCTTAGTTGTTTGGGTTAAGGCTTCACCCCAGTCCCTGACATCCATGCATCCAAAGTGTCCGGAATGTTTGATTGGAAGTTCCATCCCAAGCCCCCTCCCCTGGGAGTTGCCTCAGTCCAGACTCCACCTCCCAGAAAGCCCGCCAAATGATGACCCCCTCCCCAGAGATGCTCAAGACCACGCCCACAGGGTATTTAAACTGCCACCCCACCCCGAGAAAAACACGTGGCTTTTCAGTCTTCTTTCCCCATTTCTTCTGTGGGGCTGGAAGGCCACCCAGGAGCACTGACATCCATTAAACCTGGGCTTTTTCTAACTTGGTTTGATTTGGTCTGATTTGGATTATTGCATCGGTAGAGAGGCTTATTGGGGGCACAAAATCTTTTCATTAGCCCAAAATGACCTCAAACTCCCCATTCTCTTACTTCTGCTTTCCAAATGTTGGAATAATAGGCATGGGTTACCATGCAGGCGTTATTTAATTTTTTTAACTAAAAAAAATGTGTTTGTGTGTGTTCCTGTGCTTGTGCAGGTGGAGTTGCATCTCTGAGCAGGTAAGTGAGCAGGTGCATGTGGAGGCCAGAGGTTGACTTAAGGTTGTCATTCCTCAAGACTTCCATCTTCCTTTTAGAGACAGGATCTCTTATGATCTTGAAGCTCCCATTTAGGCTTGACTGGCTGGTCAGCCAGCACGAGGATCTTCCTGTCTCAGCCTCCAGGCACAGCTAACCTGGCCAGCTTTTTGTAGGTTCTGGGAATCTGAATTCAGGTCCTCCTGCTGAGACATTTTCCCAACCCTGTCTTGCAGCCTAGGGTAGGTGTGTCACTGTGAGGCACAGACTGATTTTGAATTTCTGGTAGTTTTACATACTAGCACCAATCTTCTTGCCTTAGCCTCCAATGGAGGCTAAGATTACAGGCAAGGAAAGCCCAACTCTGTGTTACAGCTCTGGCTGTTCTGGAACTCACAGAGATCCGCCTGCCTCTGCCTCCTGGGTGCTGGGATTAAAGGCGTGTGCCACCATCGCCCGGCTTCCATCTTTACACTAAAAGGTTGGTAGCTGGGTCATAGCGGCACATGCCTTTAATCCTAGAACTCCCGAGTCACAGGCGGGTGGATTTCTGAGTTCGAGGCCAGTCTGGACTACAGGGCAAGTTCCAGAACAGCAGGACCACACAGAGAAATGCTGTCTTGAAAAACCAAAAACAGCCGGGCGATGGTGGCGCACGCCTTTAATCCCAGCACTCGGGAGGCAGAGGCAGGCGGATCTCTGTGAGTTCGAGACCAGCCTGGTCTACAGAGCTAGTTCCAGGACAGGCTCCAAAGCCACAGAGAAACCCTGTCTCGAAAAACCAAAAAAAAAAAAAAAAAGAAAAACCAAAAACATTTAAACTAATAGGTCTTTCGTCGCTCCCTTTTGTTTATGGCTGGATCCAAATAGAGTATTAGGTATCTCGTTGTCTCTCACTTCTTCACCCTCTTAGGAATTGAAACTATGATTCCCCCAGGAAAACAAGAGGGTAAGGTTAAAACGATGCTGAGTGTTCGGACGCGCGCTGAGTGTCTAGAGGGATGGACATGACATTCACCCCTCTCCCACATTAATTTGTTCTTCCTAATTGCACAAGGATAAGCAGAACTGGAGCAAAGCATACAGATAAAAAGTTTTGGCTTTAGACCAGTAGGCCTAATTCTGTCTGCGGAATTCCTTTCCCCCTTTGCTCGCTAATATCCCCCCCTCCAGGTACTCAAACTCTTCATTGCCTTCCACTGCCGCCTCCTAGTCACCCTTGACTCCCCAGGTCCTCATCTTCAGCATCCTGTCTGCTTGAGATCCAAGGGCTTTGCGAGCCACATGGCTCCGCGGGCAACCTGAGCCCACGCCCAACTTGCCCGGTGGAGGTGGTCTTTTGAGACTCTTTTGGGGTACTGCGGAGTCTGGGAGGCGCGCTCGCCCGAAGTGATCCTCACGGTTCATTTGCCAGGAGTTCTCATACGAGAGACCTGGCGAGTCTTACTATTTCCCAATTGTTTACTCGCCAGTCTTTCGGGTCCACGCGCCTCCCAGCTGCGCTTCGCACGCTGAACTTCATTCAAAGGCCAGGCAGGGCGGCCCACGAGGTTGCGAATGGGCTAGTGGATGACCTCCGGGCTACTTCCTCCCTCTCGGCGCCCCCCCCCCTACCTTCTTCTGGTAAACAAAACTGTCCCCCAGGGCGAGGGGAGGTCTTGCTCTTCCGCGCCCTCTCGCGCAAAGGGTTAATTTTCCTGGTCGCATGAGGGGGAGGAGATTTCCCTGTAGACGAGTAAAAAGCGTGATGGACAAACGTGCGGGCACTAAGACCGCAAGGCATTCATTTCCTCCTACCGTGGTTGCGGACGCTGGGAGGAGAACCCCTGAGCCAGGAGCTGGGAGCTGAGGCGCAGGCAATGCTCAACCCTGGCTGTAGCTGAGAGACTGGGAGAGAGACCGGCTGAGGAGACTGACAGCGGGGCCATACCCAGGGGGGGGTGGGTGGGGGAAGCAGACCGGAGAGCACTCAAAATAAAAGGCTCTTTACAGATTTTTTTATTTTGTATAGAGAACACGTAGCGACTCCGAAGATCAGCCCCAATGAACATGTCAGTGTTGACTTTACAAGAATATGAATTCGAAAAGCAGTTCAACGGGAATGAAGCCATCCAATGGATGCAGGAAAACTGGTAGGTGATGCTTTTCGCGTGGTACTGTTCCCGGGAGTGCATTAATGTCGGTATTCCCGGTCAGAGCGTGAGCGAAGCGGCGAATTGCTGGCAGCAGGCAGCAAGCAGATCGAGGAGTTCTCGAGTCTAATGTCTGCAGGAGTCTGAGGCTGCATGAAGCGTGCGGTTTGGGGGTGCCCTGTCTGAGCCGCGGCCACGCGGGCATCTTTGTGTAGATTATATAACGTAGACCATATAATAGGTGTGCCTGGGATGATATACGGGAGACAAGGGAGACGGACGCGTACTACAATCCAGATACCCCACCTGTGCTGCTGTCTCCCGGCTTTCGCCTAGATTTGGGGGTTTTGCTTGGCCTCCGGCAACTGGAGCGTGCGAGGCAGTGGAGGGAGGACCCGGTCTCCGCTCCCTTTAACCCTCTCCAACCCACCTCTCCCTCTCCCGGTCCCTCGTGCCCTTCCTTTCTCCTTGTAGTTCTCACACTTCACTGCCCTCCCCTGACTGCGGCCCCCGACCGTAGATGCCTGAGGCCCAGGACCCCCCTTCCCCACTCTGACTACTCTCCGGCTTCTTAAAGACGTCGGGGGAGGAGGGGGGACAATGAAAACTGCAATAGAAATGAATGAACCCGAGCAAGTGGAGCCACGCCATTATTAAGTTTCTGTGTAAAGGAAACGCCTTTTGGATACACTTCTCAGTGCGGAGCGGCAGGCGTTTGGGCACTAGAAAGCTCTTGCCGGGCAGAGTCTTGGGGGTCCTTCCCCAGAACTTCGAATCTGGGAAAACGTCTTGTTTCCTGTGTTCCCTCCGTCCGTCTTTTGAAAAATCCCTGAGTGGGAGGCGATCCAGTGTCACCTTGCAATACTTAACAAGGGAGGTCCCTCCTTCCCCGTAGACGGTGCTGTGGTGGAAACGTTTCCCTCCGGTTTAGTGCGAGCCCTGTGATCTCCCCCGGCGCAGCGGCTGGCCCTCGGGGGGCTTCCGGGCTCGGGGAGGTTCCGCTGCCGCGTGCGAGGGCGCTCGCTACCTGCCTACCCTCCCTCCATTCATCAATGGGAAACCGGAGACGCTGCCGCGCCCGGGGCTGGCGCGGGTGGTGGCTGCCGGCAGGGGTGCAGGCGGTGGAGGCCGGGAGATCGACTTCCTCTGCCCGGCCCACGGCTTGTGGCTCCCGCCCCATGGCGCCCACCCTTGGCCTTCTGCCTGCGAGTTGCCCTGGGGCGATTTACGGCGGCCACCGGGCGGGCGGAGCCTGGCTCCCGGGCGCGCGAGTTGGGCTGCGGCATGGCGGCTGCCTGCGTGAGGCCCGAGCCCCAGAGCTAGCTTGGTGTTGTCGCTGGTGTCCTCCGGGGCTCCGAAGCCTCCGAGGACGCGGGCCTGGGTCTGGAGGGTGGTTACACCCAGGGAGTCTGGATCGCCCCGTAAGGGGGCGGTCACACGGAGGCCAGGGCGCTGCAGGAAGCCCAGCCTCCTCGGGCTGGTTTTCAAGGGTCCTAGAGGTGCAGCACCTCCTCCTCCTGCTGCAAGGGGCTTGGGGGTGCGGTGGCCTGAGAACAGCCTTCTAGCCTGGGACTTCTAGCCTAGAATTTTTTGATACCATTTGTCACCGTCCCTTGCCGCACCTACTCTAGCCTGCCTTTCTCCTCCAGTAACGCGCTGCTTGCCTTTCCAAACGTGCGTTAGCACTGCTTGCTGTATCCCGGTTGGGCCTGCCTTTTGGGAGTAGGCTTTCCCAGCCTCTGCAGGAGCATGGCCCTCACTATTCAACCTTCCCTTCGCTGCACCACCACCGTGGTGAATACTGTCTCTGTTTGTTGCTCTCCTCACCCCCAAAACTACTTTCTGTTTCTGCCCCAGGACCATTTCCCGCCTCTTTCTGCAGACACTCAAGTAAGTGACAGCCAGACAGGTCCTTAGCCCTCAAGGAACTGAAAATAACCAAATCACCAGTTTCTTCTCCCATGTTCATCTCTGGCCAATGTTTCTTCTTAGCTCTTGAACAGTCCCTTTTTTTCCTGGTAGTGCCTTTTCCTGTCTCTCTGTTTTGTTAGAGGTAGATGCTTGCATATGTGCCTGTGCTTCCTAGAATATCCTGGGCTGATAAGGGCAAAGTTTTGCACACCCTCCCCCTTGATTCTGCAAAGCACTTAGCCTGCTTTTTATTCATGGCAGATGGTTGCAAAGCCCAGTGATGAAAATGCTAACTTTGCCGCCAGTAGTACCTGCCCATATCCATACTACCACGAGTTGAGCATGCTTGGCTTTTTGCGTTTTGCCCTTTCCTTCTGCCTGATTTTAAAGTGCTCCCACCTGCCCTCTCAAGATAACCCCCAACAGCCAAAATGTCTTAAATAAAATGAAGGTTTTTTTTTTCTCATGTTGTCGTTAGAAGAGAGTGCCATCATAAAAGCTCATGAACCCTCTGGAGAGGAGTGTGGATGGCTTGAAAATCACCGAGGCTCATCTTAATTTGATCTGGTCACTCAGAATACTTTGAAATAGCCTCTGGAGGAAAAACATGTAGTAAGAGAAGCTTCTTCCTTGGCCTTTGAGGACTTGTTCGTAAAAGTTCTTTAAAATCTCTTAGATCTAGTCTAAGCGTATCTCCACAGAGCGAGCTGCAGGGGCAGCTGAAGCCTGGGGGGAGAGGGAGGGAAGCAGGTGTGGTGTCTTGCTTTGTAGTAGTCTGAATGTACTAACTAGATCGTGTAGGAGGGCTCAAAATAAGGGATGGGTGACAATGGCCCTATAATGTTTACCTTAACTACCTCAGCATCCATTCGAATGGGGCCCCAGGTTTTGGGTAAACTCCTGAGGGCTGGACTGAGCCAAGCTCATGAAGTTTATTGCCGCTTTGAATGTTTAACCCGATACTAATTGGCCTAGAGATGAAATATTGTCGACTTTATTTTTGTAGCAAATAGTTTTATACAGAAAAGCTGAGATAATTTCAGTGAGAAGTAGTGTCATATCTTGAAACTGCTTCCCAGTTAAAAAAAAATACCCTGGGTAATATTTTTCCGGTACCGTTTCTAACATGAGGCACGGGAAAACGCCTGCTTTTTAGTTCCAAATAACATTTTTTGAGTTGCAGGCTTAGAGTGAAAGGCCAAGTTAACCGCATGGACATAGGGACATTGTGTTCCTTTAGGAGATGCCCAGCCTTTACCTGCTGTGCTCAGTAATAGCTGACTCGCTCAGTAAGTGCTGCTGGCTAGGGAGAGGAACCCAGCCGTCCTCGGAAGGGTTGGAAAGGAGACATAAACTTCATTGAGAAGGAAAGAAAGCTGTGCCTTCTCTGCTTCTGCAGCCTGCCAGGTTTGTGCTAACCACCGCCGATGCTAGTTGCTCCGGTTGTAATTGCCTGGCCAATGATGATTATCTTCTGATGTCGGCTGACACGGTGTTCACCAATAGGAAGGCAGGAGGCCTGTGCTGACTGCTGTAACATTATGTATGAGGGGTGATGTCATCAAAGGGCTTGCCTGGAACCTCATGAAACCCTCCCCCTCTCCTGGCATCCTCCACACATCCAGCTTTGAGTGCTTTGTATGTTTTTCTGACTTTCTCCTCGCCTGTGATTTCTAGAAGGCTTTTATTGTTGTTGACATTTTCTGTCTGTAGTCTAGGGTTATGAGACAAGGTTTTAGAATGAAATAGTATCCCGCAGAGTAAACATTTTTACTTTTACTAGGGGAAACACTGACTTTGCATGTCTCTGTATTTTTCTGTATATGAAGCTTTACAAAGTAATGTGAAGTGGCATGTCAGGGTTCTAGAACATTATAAACCCGTGTTAGCTGTTTGACATCCTTTCAAATGGAGAGATCTGGACTGTTTTTCCAGGAGGGAGAACTGCTTTGAATTGTTCTGAAATTTTCCCCTCTTCCCCCGCAAACTTGCTGTATGCATCTGAGGAAAGTGCCGGGAAACCGTGGGCATGGAACAGAATAGGCCAGACTTTCCCTGGGGGATCATTAACAATACAGGAAATGTGATCAGGGTTGCTGTCCAGGAAAATCTTGTGTCCATATTGAGATATGTGTGTCATTCCACTTACTTGGAGAACCATAGCTCATGCTAACGTCACGACTGGGAGTCTAAGGAACCCTTCCAGTGAACTTGAGTGCACAGGGGCATAGGTGTCATATACGATAAGAGGGGCAAGGCTCTCTCTTTTATAGAGAAGAGAATCATCATTTGTGTCACACAGGAAGTAATAAAAGGCTGTGTGGGAACTTTGACCTGAACTTCCAAGTAGTCAGGTCTCTTTCCTTGTTCAGGGCCCCAGGGATGAAAGCCAGCTTAAGGTAGATTACGTGGTTATTCTGTTGTTTACCTGTGTGTTTGTGTTAGTAGATGGGGATGAAGGGGTGTTTGTTTGCTTTTTGTTATTTGTCTTTGAAAAAGACCTCTTGCTCAATTGGTCATTTCTTTATTTCTGGAAAATTACCTGTTGCCTTTACATCGCTGACTCTAAAGGTGTCATGAGACACAGTAGAATTTAACCCTAAAGTCCCGCTACTTTATATTCAACCGATGCTTTATATATTCGCTTGAAAGAAGACTCACCCCAAGACAGTGGAAAAACTCCAAGAGGAAGGGAGGCCTTCAAACACTTTGGAAAAAAAAAAGAACCCGCCCAGTTAGTTATTAGCCAGCGAAGTAAAATGAAGATGATCTGTGTCCGTGATCTGGAATATGTTGGGTCCGTGTACTTTTTTGAAATTAGTTTTCCAAAATTGTTGAAATAAGAGCGGCGGCAGGGCTGCATCCCCGGCACCCGGCCACCCGCATGGCTAGCTTATGCCCGAAATAATTACACGGAAACTGTATTCTTTCAAACACTGCCTGGCCCATTATCTGTAGCCTCTTATTGGCTAGCTCTTACATATTGTTCTACCCCATTTCTAATATTCTGTGTAGCCCACGAGCTGGCTTACCAGGGAGGATCTTAACCTGCGTCTGTCTGGAGCAGGAGAATCATGGCGACTCAAAAA